GGTCTGTATCCAGTCTTGCTTCAGGCCACAGCTTTTTTCACACAAAATGGAAGATCAGGTGCAGTACCTGGAGCTCTCTGCCCCTTGGAAGGATGTCCCCTGACTGCTGTCGCCAAGGCCACCCAGAGTAGAGCCGTGAGACAGCAGGAGTCTTCTTTCTGACTTGCACCAATGCAGCAGGCTGACCCATCTTTGAATCCCCCTTGGCCCTGCTGGTATCCCATTAGCGGGCCATGCAGCCAGGGCTTTGAGCTGAAGGGTAGGCGCTTGCACAGTGATGACAGATGGCAGGGTGGTCTCGGCCCCCTCTTGTGGAGCTGGCTTGTGCCCTCCATGCAGCTCTGCTCTGCACCACTTCGTCTTATGCTATTTTGCTGCTGAGTCCACCCAGTCTTGTGTGTGAGTCTGCACAATTCCACATCACGATGGTTATAGTTTGCTCAAGCGTCACTTAATGTCTCATGCTCAGATGCTCTATTTTTGCCGGAGCCCCGGCTCACACAAACTGCTTTCCCAACAGTGTAATGTTTCCTGTTGTAGATGAGGTGACTTAGCTCCAGAACCCTCAGGGTCTATATTGTGACTCTTTTACTGGTGTTTGTCATCAAATCGTCATGGCGTTTTTCCCATTACAGGTACTCCAAGTAACGTAAGGTTTGCAAGTTGTAAAGCCCCAGCAGTAGGCTGTTTTCACTGCAGCTAGGACTTCTCCTATAGCTGTTTCCTGCTTTTAGCCCCAACCAAACCTGGCAGCCTTTCCACGTCACCAGGATGTGAGTCAGAGCAGCTGCCTCTGGCATTCAAAGGGCTGACCAAGCCTGAGGTTTCCTTTCCAGCAGGGGGAGGTACCAGGTGCACCATGTATATTTTTATAATGAAAGGAATGCTCTGTCATGCTGCAGGGCACTGAAGCCCTGACATCTTCCATGATGCAGTGGGCGTCTGTTTCTTCAAAGACAAAATTATTTCTCGTAGTTTAGAGCACACGTATTTTACGGAGGTCTCTAGTAAACTTGAGACGTCTTTTCTGGCTTGTCTTGTCTCATGAACATCCCACACCGACGTGGTGTACTAGCACGATGTCCTGGTGACAGCAGTGTTCAAACACGGTGGCCGCAGGTCCCCTGCATATTCTTTAAAATCAAGTACCCCAAAGAGCTTTTGTTTACATGGGTTATAGATATATTAATATAGTCTGGAAAACAAACTGGAGACATTTTCCACATATTTGTGTATTTATTAAAAATAAAATACCAAAACCTAAAATGCAATAAAATAAATAAATGGGGAAAAAAATAAAAAAAAATAAAAATAATAAAAAATAAAATAAATCCATTACATGTTTACATAAATGACACCTCATTATGAAAAATAACTATTTTCCAAAAAATACTTGTGAATGGCATTGTTTAACATTTTTGCAAATCTCTTCAAGACAGCTAGAACATCATATGTTTCTCTGTTCCATCTGTTATGTTATTTTGGTTTAAGATTGTGAAGCACATCTGCTTCCATATAGATATACAGCTGAAAAGAGAGTATTTTAATACTCTTCAGATAATTATGGATATTTTTTCTGTGAAGCCAGTGGTAGCACCTTAAAGGTTGTTTTGATGTGGAATCTGAAATCGTATCATACATGTTTTATACCCTGTTAGATTAAAAATCATTAGTCTTGGCTGTGTGCAGTGGCTTAGGCCTGTATTCCCAACACTTTGGGAGGCAGAGGGGGGTGGATCACTTGAGATCAGGAGTTCGAGACCAGCCTTGTCAACATGGTGAAAGCTCATGTCTACTAAAAATACAAAAAAAAATACCCAGGAATTGCTTGAACCCACAAGGTAGAGATTGCAGTAAGCAAAGATCGCGCCAATGCACTCCAGCCTGGGTGACAGAGAGAAACTCTGTCTCAAAAAACAAAAGTAAAAATAACAAATGAGCAGCTCTTACTTGCATGAAATAGATTAATACCTTCCCATTATAGAAAATCTAAAATAAGCATTTTTCTACATGCGAATGACATGACTTGATTACAAAGTGTAAGTAACCTTAATAGACAACCCAGTCTTCACTCTAAATGATTGTTAGATGGCTGCAAATTACATTTTGTAAAGGAAAGCTTTTAGTAGACATCCCATGATTTGTTGATATGTCTGTAATTTCCTCTGCCCCCAGTATAGCACTTTGTTCAGTTATGTGGTTGTATCTTTTGTCAAATGGTATATTAGCTTTCTGGGGTTGCCATAACAAAACACCACAGACTGAGTGACTTACACTAGAAATTTATTTGTTCATAGTTCTCGCAGCTGGAAATCCAAAATCAAAATGTTGGCTGGGCTGGTATCTTCTAACGTCTCTCTCCTTGCCTTGCAGATGGCCACCTTCAAACTTTATTCTCACATGGTCTATCCTATGCACACACATCCCTAGTGTCTCTTTGTATGTCTAAATTTCCTCTTTTCATAAGGATATCAGTCAGATTGAATGAGGTCCTATCTATGGCCTCATTTTAACTTAATCATCTCTTTAAAGACCTTATTTCCAAATATAGTCACACTATGAGGTTCTAGGGGTTAGGACCTCCATTTATAAATCTGGCAGGTGTAAGGGAGGAAGAAGAGAAACAATTTAACCCAACAGATGACAACCCAGGAAATTATATTTCCCAATGCTGCCATTTCAGAGGTACCGTGTGGCAGATGGGAGTTTTATACCTTTTCAGATTTTTTTCTTTTCAGTGATAAAATTTGATCTTTTCAAGATAAAATTGGGGCTATGCTTTAAGATAAAACTGAAATATTATGATTTTTCATTTGTGTATTTTTGAGATAAACCAGACTTTCTGAACAGGGTTTGTCCCTTCTGGAAATGCTCCATTGGCTCTCTCCTTTGTGGGAATATTCTATTCGGTCCCTTACTTTATGACACTCTAATTTTAACAAATTATCCTCAGTTGTCCTTGGCTTTGTCTCTATTAGACTGTTCTGTTGATCACTTGACTATCAATACAGACAGCTGTGGCCTGGGGAATCAGTAGGGAATATAATTGCAAGCCCACAATGCCTTTCAAGATTTATATGAAGAGGTCCATCGCACCCTGCCTGTGGGGAACACAGCTCGTCCATTCCTCCAGGTCTAGATGCAGAACTTCTTTCAAAGTATACAATTCATAGTTTACATCTCATTCCAATTAGTTCCATGACTTCAGGAAGGTAATGTACCCTAAACAAGCACAAGCTTGCTTCTTGATTGGGGCCCTGCACAGTCGCTGCATGCAGGCAGTCACCATCAGCTGTTTTTAAGTGGTGTCTGAAACAGTCCTGTGAATAATCCTGTATTTAATGATTTTATCCTCTCCTCTGGGTTCCAGTGGAGGAGTTTCTCTTTTCTCAGTGCATTCTCCTGATTCTTGTTTTACTCTGCAAGAAACAAAATCTTATACCATAACATGTTGCTAACTTTTAAATAGCTAAAATATTTCTGATCAAATTTACTTGTAAATACACTCATTTTACTTTCATGACACTCATTTTATATACTTAAAAACAAAGCTTATTACCACCTTACTTTCATTGATGCCATTTATGTCATGCCATTTTAAAATTTTCTTTTTACTTATTTTTTATTATTATACTTTAAGTGCTGGGGTACATGTGAAGAACGTGCAGGTTTGTTACATAGGTATACACGTACCATGGTGGTTTGCTGTAAAATTTTAGCTTCTTTTATATTGCTCTTTTTTTATGTGCCTCTTTATAAGGTGCTTTAAATATTAAATTCTTGTTGGAAGCTTTTGATATTTTCTCAATTTATATGGATGTGTTTGTGGGATTTGTGTTCATGTGTGAGGGGAGAGTTACATTCCCACTTTCTTTTGTGTGAGATGGAGCTCTTATAATAATTTGTATCCCAATTTTTCCTTCTTAGGAAGCAAATTTAGTAGGAACTACTGGGGACTACACAGCTACCTTATGACTCTGAGGAGGTAAAGCATTCTTCAGTCATTCCTGTTGGAGCCAAGTGAAGCATTCTAGCTCCAACACCTTAGCCATCTCTAGGAACAGCAGCACCTTCTATCTCAGAGCCTCTTCTCCTTTAAGGAAAACAACCTTTAAGGGAAGCAACTGAGAGCTGGGTAAGAAGAAAGCAATCATGTGCTGAAATCTTCTGGAGAACAAAAGTTAGTGAAACGATCTTAGACCCCTAACTCGGAGCTCTTATAGGAACAGCAGATACTTATGGAAAGCTGAGAAAGCAGTGTTCAAAGTCTCCAGACCACCCCTAGAGGGATGCGTGTGGGTGGCTAGGGGAACGTTTCGCGGAAAGTTCATTGGTCAACTTGTTCCACGTGGGAACCCGTTTCAGGCAAGGGCGACAGCACCGTGGACAGCGCCAACCCTCCTGCATCCGGGCAGGGTGAGGCGGCAGCACCGCGGACAGCACCGCACGAGGGGGCGCTCGCTGGGAGCCGCCCGGCGAGGGGGGCACAGGAGCGCAGCAGCAAAGCCGCGCGCTCCAAGCCAGGAGGAGGGGAGAGGAGGCCTTATCAGCTGATGGCTTACGTAGGGCTAGATCTCAACTTGGATAAGGCAGGTCTCGGTGGGTGCGACAGCATTCGCTCTGCGGAGACGCAGCCTCAGACAGGGTGGCGGGGACAACCGGGACAGAAGGCAGGTTCCAGAAAGCAGGTCTCCCCCCAGATTGGCTTCCCTAGCACGGAGTTAAAGCTGCAGCCTGCTGCCTAGAGAGAAGGGTGGGCAGGGAGGCAAAGCGGCGAGAGTGACTGCTCTGACGCACCAGCCCCTCTCCCGCACCCACACGCAGCGGGCCGCCCTGCTTCTCCCCCATCGGGGAGATGCTCGTTTCTGGGCCGCCAGACAGCCTTTTCCGCCAAGGCAAGGAGCCCGGGGCTCCTGACAGCTTAGGCGGGCCCTGGCTGGAGACGCACCCCTCGCCTCTGCTTCCTTAGCCTCTCAGGGCTTCAGACCTGCCGCACTTGCAGCCACGCCGTCTCCTACGGATGCTCACTAGCAGGAGATTGGGGCCAAATTCACAGGCACTTTCCAGAAACCCCACCACTGCCCAGAGGTTGCAAACATCCAGGTTGGCTCTGGGCGCAGTGGGCACCTTAAGTCTCCTGAATACCCTTCCTGCAAGCACCCCAGGCCGGTCTCCTGACCCAGAGATGGATTTACCTGTGAACCTAACCTCCTTTTCCCTCTCCACCCCTTTCCCTTTGGAGACCAACCGCAGCCTCGGCAAAGATGATCTGCGCCCCAGCCCGCCCCTGCGCTCAGTCTTCGGAGTGCTTATTCTCACCTTGCTGGGCTTTCTGGTGGCAGCGACGTTCGCCTGGAACCTGCTGGTGCTGGCGACCATCCTCCGTGTGCGCACCTTCCACCGCGTGCCCCACAACCTGGTGGCGTCCATGGCCATCTCGGACGTCCTGGTGGCCGCGCTGGTCATGCCGCTGAGCCTGGTGCACGAGCTGTCCGGGCGCCGCTGGCAGCTGGGCCGGCGGCTGTGCCAGCTGTGGATAGCGTGTGACGTGCTCTGCTGCACGGCCAGCATCTGGAACGTGACGGCCATCGCGCTGGACCGCTACTGGTCCATCACACGCCACCTGGAATACACGCTCCGTACCCGCAAGTGCGTCTCCAACGTCATGATCGCGCTCACCTGGGCGCTGTCCGCTGTCATCTCTCTGGCCCCGCTGCTTTTTGGCTGGGGAGAGACTTACTCTGAGGGCAGCGAGGAGTGTCAGGTCAGCCGTGAGCCTTCCTACGCCGTGTTCTCCACCGTGGGCGCCTTCTACCTGCCGCTCTGCGTGGTGCTCTTCGTGTACTGGAAGATCTACAAGGCTGCCAAGCTCCGCGTGGGCTCCAGGAAAACCAATAGCGTCTCACCCGTATCCGAAGCTGTGGAGGTGGGTATTGCAGCAATCCTGAAAAATACTCGACTTGCATTTGTACAGGCTGTATTTCCAGGCCACCTGCCCCACCCCCCACACTTGTAGAAAGTGGAACTTTTTGGGTTTGGGAGTAGGGGGAGTACACTGGGAGAGTGGAAGAAGGCATCAGAGGTGTTCTTTGCCCTGACGTGTTCCCTCTTGCAGAGCGAATCACGCTGTTTTCCTTCTCTCGTGGGTTATTTGTTAAATATACAGAACATGAGGAATTCCAATGGCATCACTCTACAGGGTCCCCTTAGGCCCCCAAATTCTATGGCTCTATAACACCCTTTAGAACATCTGGATAAGCTAGTATCTGGAGTACGCTGGTTCAGTACACTGGAAAAATCAACAGCTTCTTGCACTTCGAATGAGGGTATTCCAGGAGGGGGGCTCCAGGTGTGGGAGCATGATTTGATAAGACTGCCATGTGTCAGGCAATGCAGGTTAGTGTTTCATCCTAGTCTATTGTTTTGCTTTGCAAATCACAGCAACTGATTTATTAAAAGTATGGTATCACGTAGGTTACTGTCCTTCTGTGGCATCCTCCCATCCTGACGTAGATGGAAGATGTGGTCTGCATTAGTCCCAGAGCCTGCATTTGTCATCTGCTTCCACTGCCTTGGGGTGTTACTTTCTGGATCTCTCCCCCACAGCCCTATTAGGTTGTAGGTGTGACTGAGAACCTTCCTGAAAGTGAGTAAGGCTGCAGAAGGAAATTAAAAATTCAGGAAAGAGAATTCCCCAGTTCTCTGCAAGAGGCATTTATTGCATGACAATCACTATGGCAACAGCAAGGGAGCTTTTCTCCTTCTCCCACTCCTGCTTTTTGTTGACTCTTAATAATCTGACCCTATGACTCACAGTTCTGAAGACCACGCCCCCCTCATTACCAAGGATGATTCCTTGAATCTAATTTACACATTTAGGTTAGACCAGGAGTCTACACAGTCCCCATTTTCTGTAGTTGTCTCTGGAACAAGAATGTAATCCAATTAAGCATATGGAGTGCGTACTATAGGCTTGGTGCAAGAGATAAGAGAATGATAGAGATGTTGTCTTTGCCCATGAAGACTTTGGTCTAGGGAGGGAGATGGGGACCCACCCTGGGCTCTGCAAGTGCTTTCTAGAGTCAGTAGCTAATTCTAACCATCCCCAGTCAGTCAAGCTTAGAGGGACCACAGGTGTAGATAGGGAAAAAGGGGAGACAGCATCATCCTAGATGAAAGAAGAAAACAAGGGGTCAGAGGCTACCTGTCCTCTTATCTATGTCGGCACTTCTCAGCGAAGGGTGATATTGCCCCCAAGGAAACATTTGGGCTGTCTGGAGACAGTCTGGTTAATCAAGACTTGAGGATGGGGTGCTAATGGCATGTAGTATAGAGAGGTCAGGAATGCTGTTAAATATTGTACGATGCATAGGACAGCCCCTCAACAGAGGATTATTCAGACCAAAATGTCAATCGTACTGAATTTGGGAAACTCTGATCTATTCAATTTCTAAGCAGAACAAAGAGTGCTGTTGGGTAAGAACACTGAAGCTTCCATCAAACTACCTGAAGCTGTGTTCCATGCATATGAACGTCCACTCAAATTCCAAGCCAGGAATAAGAAGACAGTCACCCCCAAGGGCCCTCCTTTTATAAATTGTCCTCTCCCCTGATGTTTATCCAGGAAAATATGATTTACAATCAACCCCAAACATAGCTTTAGAAGGAGAAAGTTAATTACAATTCTAACCCAAGGCTTGTTGTAAAAGGATGAGGGGCACTCTCATTTCTCTGCTTCAGTGATAGCAGAAGCAAAGCATTATAGCATCTTTGTGCTTTTTCTATAGATACACACACACACACACACACACACACACACACACACATATACTCTCTTCTTTTCTCTCTCCCTCAACCCCCCTGCCTGGTTAGTTTTGAAAATGGGTCCCTTGGCTTGGCAAGGCCTCTAAATAATCCAGTTCTCTAAATATAATGTGGGGCTGCCTCTGTCCTTATGTTATGTTGGAGGGTTAATTATAAACCAGGCCACCTGATTGCTCTGTGTAGTGGGAGTGGGCGTCAGAGTCTCTAAACGCAGTTCTACCACCAGCTAGCTGTTACCTAGGGAAACCAAAACACTTCTCTCTCATTTCTTTCTCTGCCGAGTTTTATTTAAATACATGTCATGAAACCCTAACCCAGGTCAGACATTGAGCTGGAATCTGGCAACCACAAGACAGATAAGCCTTGCCCTTGTCAAAGGATGAGGAAGCCACTGCTAGAGATCTGAAATAAAATGACAAAAGAAAAATGCCTTGCTTACTAGAGTGAGCTGGGGCTGTGCTGTCCAGGTACGATTTCCCTGAGCAGAGCAGAAGTGGGAAGACCTGAAACAGCACTTTTGGGAGGTATGGGGCCTTAGGGATTGGTGAATTGTTGAGTGTTGGGTAAATGACATCCTCTGTGTGAGATGCTGTTGTTGATTTGTTGTTCCTCCAATGGGTATTTACTGGAGTGAGTCCATCCTTGGTGGCCTTTCAGTACTCAGGGGCTAACACCAATAATCTACACAGGTGCTATAGACACCCAGGAGGTAGAGACAGTGTGAACTACTTCACCTTCTTTTATTCTAACCCTAATTGCCCTCCCATTCTTATTCATTCTCTATATAACAGACAAAATTAATAAAGCTCTGACTCTCAAAATTACAGGCCACCAATGGTACCAAAGCAATGCATATACAGACTGTACAGGCTTAACTTTTGACTCCCATATGATCCCTGCAGCAGACCTACACCCAGGAGAGCAACTTATGCAAAAAGGCCCTGTGCATATAGACAGACAGCAGCAAAAGCAAAGCAAGCAGCAGTAGGATAGACAGATGAATACCATGACGCCATTTCCTAAACAGTACACTGTGTGACAAGAGGTTTGATGCCTTATACACAGATCTGAGACAATTACCTAATGGTAGAATCTCTTAATCAAAGATGTAGTGACTTGATACAAACACCTTAGCCCTACAACCTTATACAGGAACATACTTGGTGACAAATCTTAAGATAACAAAATTTCAAAAATATCTTGATTGAGATGGGTTGCCCTTGATCAATAGAGTAAGTTTAAAACTCGTTCTGGGCTAAAGAGCACTCATTCTTTTGCTAAGTGTGTGGGAACATTTCCTTCTCAGTCTGCCTTTCTTGGTCCTCATTCAGCCAGAGCTGCAGGAGAGACCACCATGGCTGTCCAGATTTTCACCACTGTGGCTGGTCCTCCTTGACGATGAAGTTTCTTCTGTGGAGATGTGATGTTCATACTGCATGTTGATCTACATGAGTTTATACTGTTTTTAAAATTATCTGTTGACTCATCTGTCAGGACAGTTGTGCAGAAGCATGTAAAGATCTGAATTTGGTACTAGAGCATCAAAGTTCTCTCTGGAGCCAGGATACTTTAATTATAGAAATTCAGTCATGTGTTTCCCCTTCCTTGTCTAAGGGTTTCAGAGCTGCTGGCTGATGCATGTTGCAACAGGAGAAGGAGAAAGTAGCCATGAACCATCAATAATGAGTAGAAAAATATTGGATAGTTTATGTTAGCAATTGGGGCCTATTACATTTGGTACATCAGATTTAAAAGGCTACCATGAAATGTTCTGAAGATGTGTTGACTAATTGAATTGATGCCTGTAATGTCTCTGAGACAAGGAGGCAAAGCCTCCAGGTTACTGAATTAAGCAGTGACATTGCCTTAAAATAGGCAATGTTCTTTGACAGGTGCCATGCTGTCACCTCAATCCACCCAGAGCATGGCCCCATGTTTTCATATTTGCCTGAAAAGGAACATTCATGATAACCTAGGAAGAACCAGTCTTAACTCTTAAGCATTCTACTTCACTTAAATTTTCTAGTTGTGGAGTCTCTTGTCCATGGAGATTCTAGAACCATGAGTATTTCTTTAGTAATTTAAAAAATTGCATGTAGTATAGGCATTCTCACGTCTAATCAGCTATAATCTCATCATGAACGAGGCTGAAGCACATTTTATTTGGAAGCAGATCCTACCTATTGTAGGAATGTCATAGATTAAAGAAGCATTCTTTTGCTAGTGATCCGGAAATATCTATCAGTTATAAGTTACCATACAGGATTGCTAAAGATTGTTACTACTTGAATTGTTCCATTAAATAAAGTTGACTTTCTCTCAAGCCTTTGAAAAATTTACTATATAGCTAGAAATTTGTCATTTATTATCTTGTTTCACTATCTGGTATAATCAATAGCTTTTTTTTCAGCTCCCTGTGTTGCCCAGGCTGGAGCGCAGTGGCATGATCTTGCTCATTGCGACCTCTGCCTCCTGGGTTCAAGTAATTCTCCTGCCTCAGCCTCCCGAGTAGCTTGGATTACAGGTGTGCACCACAATACCTGGCTAATTTTTGCATTTTTAGTAGAGATAGGGGTTTCATCATGTTGGCCAGGCTGGTATCAAACTCCTGACCTCAGGTGTTCTCACCCTCCCAAAGTGCTGGGATTATAGGCATTAGCCACTGCACCCAGCCATCAATAGCTTTATTAAAGAAATTTTTTGTTTTAATTTTTAAAAACTTACTACAAGTTGATTTGCTTTTTTGCTTTTCAGACAACTTTAAAAATGTATGTGGCATGACTGTTGTTCTGTAGTGGTGGGGTTACTGGCAGTTATGATGACAGCCACATAAACAAAAACGTTTATATAGTTATATATCTCATTACAGAAAACTTTCCTTGGAAGTTTAAAAAGACAAAGAATTGTTGAGTGATAATACCTTCCTCGGAGTGGCTTTATTAGATAGATTGTATATAATTGTCATTTTGTCTTTTAGCCAACATGAGATGTTCATTCTTTCAAGGCTCCTTCTGCTAGCAAGATATTAATATATATAGGAATTCTTATCTTGGCTCTCAAATCCTTGAGAACAGAGGCCCTTTTGGGTGTTTTATCTAGAAA